AAAGAAAGAAAGAAAAAAAAAAGTAATGCATTACTTCAATTCGGTATGATTTTTAAAAGTACAACGAACATTTCAACTGTGATTTAATATTAGAAAAAAATAGGAATGAAAGGTACATATGTGTAATATATTATAAGTTTAATGTACAAAATGTTAATGCTGAATTATTATAAGAAAGAAAAAAAGGGGCTCTAACACATAGAGAAAATGGAGGTGTAAGAATCAGATGGCTCAGAAAATGCACACATCCAGTTCACTTTGACCTCAGTGAAATGGTCAGTAAATGACATCACTCTGCCAACCACAAAGAACGCCTGGCTCTCTGAAAAATATTTTTCAAAGCCCTAAGGAAACCTAAGCAGTCTCTTATTTTTTTTTCCAGTTTATGAAAATTGGATTCCTATAAAAGGAAAACCGGCCATTTTTACTGCAACAAAAACTGATTTGTAAAAGCTGGAAGCAGTTTAAAAATATTCTTAACATGAGGTTCTTGTTAGTCTTGAAAAGTAAGAGTTATAATAAAAGATCGGTCCAAAAATATGGTATGGATACATGGTATATAACAGGAAAAAAAGCTAGTCTTGGTCCTATTATTTTTAATTAGCTTCAATAGCAAGTTCCACTTTACTTTCTAACACCAGTTCAGATTTGGGGAAGGGAAGATTTACATTTGACACCCTGGGATCGGCAACTCCATAGCTAAGGCCCTGGAGCCCTAATGCATTTTGCATTAACTTTAAATGTCGGGAAATCCTGGCGCCAAGAGGTTCAAACCAATAGTGATACACGTCTAAAACCCAGGATTCTCTGTCAACTGCCAGTATCTATTTTATCAAACATGTAGTCTCTCTAGTAGAATGAGATAGATGAGTTTAACAGTTTTCACTGTTTCCAATTAAACTGCCTTGATGTATTACAAAAATGCAGGATTGCAGACTAAGAAGGACCCTTGAGTTGGATTTTAAGAAAAACACCAATTTGAACTGTTTAAATTTTCTCATCTGGCTTGGTTTCTCAAATTTTAACACATTTGTCTTATTATTACACTTTGTCAATTTAGGAAAAAATTCATCGAACAATTAAAAACAAAAAACCCTCATGACATACCAATTAGTAATTTATTCTTTACTTTGCAGGAACTTGAGATCATGTGAATCTGCTCAAATTTTAAAATGTTCAAAAACCAGCAAAGACTGGCAACCACGAGAGCTGTCTGAGGAGTATGCCCCTTGGCACTGTCACATTCTGTTTCATGTTTCATCCCACATACCACTGTCAGTCATATCATTAAAAACATTGGTAATGATAAAAATTCACATTTTGTACATTAATCTTTTATTATTCTTTTTCCAGATAACTTGGCTATGCTTATTTATCAAAGCCATATGATAAAGAAGCAGGGAAAGAATTTATAAGTCATATAGACCATTTTTCTGATTTAAAGAGAAAAAAAAAGCTCTCAATAAATAACATTTCCTCTTTTTACATGTATTTAGAGAACTAGTGTTTTCAATATTTAAGATCCCAATTAAGAAAATAATTCTTTTATAGATAGCTTAAATTCTTCATCATGTCTGTTTATTTTCACTTTCACAGGGGTGATGAGGAATAAGAATTCAACAATTTCTGCTTAACATTTCTTGAAATACAGTCCTATTTAAAAATCACTTAAAATAAAGAACTTCAACAAAGTTTTAAGTCAGTGTTATTTAATCTAATGATTTTTAAATGTACCTACTGGATATCAGAAGCTGAAAGGTAGTCACTAAAATTTCATATCTGGACATTAAGTAGAAAAATTATCATAAGATATGTGAATAATTATATAGCAATTTAAAATACTTGAACCGTTACAGAATTAAAAAATAAAAAAAGCCAGACCTAAGATCCATGGTCTTTTGGTATCAAAGATCACAGGAGTCCTACCAAAAGAAGCATAACTAACCAAAAATTATTGAGTAAATGAAAAAAAAAGCATATGATTCCAGAGTGGCTCAGTAAAACAGAAAGTGGAAAAGAACAATTATAAATATTTGGCTATACTTTATAGTCTGTATCTCTACTGTAACAATTCGGGGTCCCTACAAAAAAACTGATGAAACACATTGTAAATTATTTCATCTGGAAATAAAAAGTGATATAGTTATGTGATGTAAGGCCTGAAGGATTATAAAAGACAAGAGATGAAAGACTTAACTTTCTCAGAGAAGTTTGTTTTTTAAAGGGCAAGCAATTCTCAAATCAAAATGATTATAATAAATAGGTTTATCACTCTTTTGACTTGAAGAAGTCTAGTTAGTTTTACTAACTAATCCTTTAGGTCAACATTACTATGATGTGTCTTTTATGAAGTAAAAGAAGCTACTTAAATATTTTGAGCAATGAAAAAGAACTGAAGGTTCTAAAAGGATTTTACCAAAGTCATTTAAAAGACTTATGAACTAAGCAATAAAATCCTGAAATCTTTGGATCTAATATATAATTTAGCTACTAAATTATTTTTTAAATATTTTTAAAATAAAATAACCATTTTGAAAATGAGAAATGAGAGATTTTGCTGAATTTGGCTCATGAAATTGTCATTTTGTATATTCAATTTTAGTGAAAAATGTTTAGTTTCTTTAAAGTCATAATATGTAAAAAATGAAAGCAAGTCTTCTTCAAATAAGTAATACGTAATGCATAATCAGTAGCAGTTTGCTTTCTTTAGGTAGGCAGTATCTGAAGAAGGTACAAAAATAATGTTTTGCTCATAATAAGACATAAATGAAAAGAATGATTTAATAATTACAATGGTAGAATCTTATAAATGCCATAAGTAAAATTATTTAATATAAATATTGGATCATATACCCAAATAATTTCTTCCTTTTTAAATTAAATTTCAGAAGACATTTATCCAGTAAATTGTCACATGACATAGTACTTATAATGATTAAACAGAGCCTCTTTTTGAATAATTAAGTAATCAAAAGTCATATGCTTTCTGGTATTTAACCATGGTTAGTTTTTATTTCCTGAGGCAAGAAATTTCTTACTATGACAATCCAGTTTATTGATAAAACTGTTTCTAAAATGCTATTATTTATTTAAAGACCATTATAGAACAATGAACTAGGCACTTCATGTAATACTCCTATGTTTTTCTACCATGCTTTTAAACTCTGGGTCATAATCATCAATAAGTTGTGAAATCAACTTAGTGCGTGGCAATCTCCACTTAACAAATGAAAGGAATAAAACAACATGCCATTGTACACTATAGGTATTAAGAGTGAATATCATTTTAAGAGATTTTGGTTAATTTATCATTGTGGAATTATAAGAATAATATCATTTTAAGAAATTTTTGTTTTACACACATGTATAGAGGTAGATACATATAAATAAATAAATATGTATCTATGCTTGAGGCTGCAATATGAAAGGTACTTCTTTTTTGTTTATTATTTTTTTAATATTTATTTTTTGTTTTATTTTTTTTAAAGAGAGAGAGAGAATTTTTAGTATTTATTTTTTAGTTTTCGGCAGACACAACATCTTTGTTTGTATGTGGTGCTGAGGATCGAACCTGGGCCGCACACACACCAGGCAAACACGCTACTGCTTGAGCCACATCCCCAGCCCCGTAATATTTATTTTTTAGTTGTAGATGGACACAATACCTTTATTTTACTTATTTATTTTTATGTGGTACTGAGGATTGAACCATTGCCTCACCCGTGCTAGGCAAGCTCTCTAACGCTGAGCCACAACCCCAGACCTCCTGTTTATTTATTTATTTATTTACTTTTGCAGTGCTGGGAATTGAACTCAGGGCCTTAAGCATGCTAGGCAAGTGCTCTACCATTGAGCTACACCTCCATTTCTCAACACTGAAAGTTTATTTCTTTTAATGTGGTCTGTGGTCAAGAAGGCTTAAAAGTCACGGGCATGTTTTGTTTCCTCCAAATTAGGATCATGTTATGCTGTGAAGAACAAAAGCTTTGGTGACTTATAGACCTCAAGATCAAATTTTTGCTCTATAATACTACCTGTGTGAGTTGGTTACTTAAATATAAAATTTACAGCTTTGACTCTTTATTTATAGAACAGATATAATTCTGCTTTAAAATGTTGGTGTGAGGCTAAAATTAAAAAAATTAATGTTAGTAAAACAGATTCTCCATAACAGATCATCATTAGTGGTTGCAGCAATTATTATAACTGAATTAAAATAGCTTCTTACAAGTAGTCATAATATATTGGTCACACTGTAGTTTGATCATTTAAAAAATACATAATGTAATTCTCAAATAGAAAACATACAATTTTAGAAGCAGAAATTAAATCCATAATTTAAAAAAATATAGTTTTAAAGAAAAATAAGATCATACCTATTCACTAAAGTAGCTTAATATGAAATTTCAACAGTCAGTCTGAATTAAAATACTGTACCTCTAGGCATAGTATAAAGGGGAAAATATTGTTTACATTTTTAAAGCCAGATTTTTAAAAAAAATCTATGCAACATTAGTAATGAAGCTGGATATCAGCTAAGGGAAACTTTGTAATAACTGTAAAACACTGGCTTGTCAAGTATTTTTTCCTTAAATATTTTACTTAATTCCACCTATGACAGAAAAGTCTTCAATTTAGTCAAAGCATCCACTTTTTAATACGTATGAATTGTTGTTAAAATACACATCTTGTCTTCTTATTTTATGGGCTTTGAGAAGTGCTCAGGAAAGAGTATGTATTCATTAACTTGGCAAAAGTACTGTCTGTTTCTATATCTTCCAAAATGATGAAGTATATATTTTTTTTCAAATCTGTAATCTCCATTTTTTCTACACAAAAAATGTGAATTCACAAATTACTTTAAAATCAAACAAACATGTTCTTGAAAAGTTTGAAGATTTTCCCCCCGCTCTTAATGAAAAAGAAAATGAGGAGTGAAAAGAATTCTGGTTTTGCAAAGGAAACACCATACATCAGATTTTTCTTGGAAGACTGTTTACCTGCCAGGAAATGAATGCTGCCCAACTACGTCTCCGTTTTGAAGATGATAATCGTTGAAGAAATCTGGACTTATGGCTCCTTCGGAGGCAATTAATCCATCTAGATAGAAGAAAAATGGTATTTGTGAAATGTATTTGTAAGGAATAAAAAGGAAACTACCCTATCAAACAACACATTAAGAAAATAACCTGCATATTTAATCTGAAATAAAAATATTAGCAGGTTAGCATGTCATGCTGTTCTCTCTATGAGTATTCATAGAAGACCACACATATCAAGAGTTTGTTCAATAGTTCTGAACAATAACTCAATTTATTGAGCATCAACTACGTGCAAGGTAATACTAGCATAGGGATGGATAAGATAGTCTCTGCCTTCAAGGATTTACAGTCCTGTGGAGAAGACAGACAGGAAGAGGTAAGGAGGTGAGGCAAGGGGTGGAGGCACAGTAAGAACAGTCCACGCTAAGCAAACAGCATCAACAGGCAAAAGCATTGAACAGCATGGTGTTTTGTAACAGAGCAATACTTGAGTACATTTTACATTTTATATCAAGACAGCTTCAATTGTGTAGCATGATTAGGGAATCAGATATATCAAATAAGTGAATCTCTAAACAATCTCTAAACAAGTTTGACAATTTAAATGACCAATGTTAAAACACACACAAAAATGTATTAGAAATCTTCATAAATACAGTTTATACTCCATGTGTTCTTAGAAGGTATTCTATATAAAATGTAAATACTTCTTAGTGACTTGATTGTTATTATAAATATCATTTATTACACAATAATGTCCTAAGGTTACCAAATATGTTTGACTTGCACTGCTAAAAATGGCTTTCTATTACTCATTTTTTGAGCTCTTTGTTTTAAAGTGCTTCCTTTCTTAAATCTAGGACTTTGTAATTCTTTCTTTCTTTCTTTTTTTTTTTTTTTTTTTTTTTTTGCTGATTTTGAAGTTGTATTACTTTCTCATCTGCTCCAATCTAAGAATCTAGATAAGCTATTTTTACATAAATAAAAATAAATTAAGACTAAAAAGCATCTGAGGGAAAAAGACCCATGTGATGGTTTTGGGACTGTCCTATGTGTTGAACAAATACTTTAGGGTCTGGATGGCTGTGAGAACTTTCAAAACTTCCTTTTCTTAAAGTATGATGGGTTGTAGAGTCTAGATATAAATGTTGGTTAGGTTATACCCCCCACTCTATTGATAAATCTGGCACACAGTAGGCAAATTATTCAGTTACCAGCTGATTATTTTATACCTAACACATGCATAATAATACTGGGATAGATCCTGTGGGAAATATAAAAAATTATAATATATAACCTCTGTTTAAGAATATAATAATATAATTTATTAATAAATAAGATACAACAAAAGTAGATATATGAAATGAGTATTAGAGGCAATAAAAGCTCTGGAGGGATTACTGTATTTTATGGGGTTTTAGAAAACCCTACCTGGGGAGAGGTGGGGCAGAGTTGTAAATAACTGGAGTCTTGAAACACAGGTAGTATTTAAATGAAAAATCTGAGGGAATAGGGTATTAAAGATAAAGTATATGGCAAACAAAGTAACAGTGGGCAAATGAATAAGTGAGGTTATTTGTGTTTCCATTAGACTCCCTTACTACTCATTTGGTACACATATCCTTTGTGACACATCGTATATTGATGACTATGATTATTATTTAATTATTATTGTTGAATTGTTAATGGATACCTTTTGTATTAATCTTATTATTTTACTAAATACAAAATACTTGAGCTTCCATTAAAAGTGTCAGTAATGTTTAGTTCAGTTTTTATGTCTGAAAGTTAAAGATTCTATAAGTTAAAAGACCTGATAAACCCTGAAAAACTTCAAAAAAAAAGGAATTTATTGGAAATGCCAAGATACCATACACTGAGAGTGAAGCTGTTATGAATAATTTTTAAAAACCCATTTCATATGTATCTAAGGTTTTGTGAAAATGTGGCTAAAATTAACAAGTTGAAGATTAAAAAATTAAAATAACTGTTAAATTAAAACTAAATAATTGAGGATCAAGTTTTAATAAACCTGCTAATTTGAGAGGATCAAAGGTATGTAAAATACAAATGTGGAATCAAAGGTACTCCAAACATTGAAAATGAATACAAAAAATGTTCTTTATGCCAATAGAATAGAAGCTTTTAAAACTCAGAAACATAGTATTTTGAGATATAAATACAACCAAGTGAAAAGATGGTTTGTATTTATGAAATACAAACTACTAAACTGAGTCAGATTAGGAAGAAATTAAGTTTAAAAACTGATCAAATTCTCAAAATCATATCTTGTTTCAGAGTTCCTATCATCTTAAAAGAAAACAATGAGTAGCAAAAGGATAAATGGTGTACAGGGAACTTTTACAAACCGGGACATCATCAAAACAGAGTTCAAACTGAAAATGCTTGAGGTTACGTACGGTTCAGCCAGATATTTCATAAACACAGAATACAACTAGCCTAATAATATAATAAGCCTGATCTTATATAAATAAAAAAGTAAATTTATACTTTTGAAATTTATTTTTATTACTCCCAGGGCACTGCAGTTTAAATAAACTGTAGCTTTCATGGTGTTAATTCACCCTTGACAATGGGCACTCTTTCTTCACTAAAACAAGGTATAAAAGTACCATTAAAGTCTCATCTAACATACCCCCAACTTCTTTGGAAATATCTGATTCTTAACATTTTGCAACCAAAATTATTTCTTTTAGGGAAATACCAAAAATTCTATCTTCTTGGTTACCCTGATATACCTAGGAGTGTCCTTTTTAAGTTCCATGTTGTTTCAATGATAACAACAAAGAATTAAAGAATTTTATATAACATTTAAATGGCTAGAGAACAAAAGGAAAACAGATGCAATACACCACAGCACTCTAAGCTGCACACATACACTTGGGTTATTAAATTACATGAATCGCCTAGTTATAGAACACATCACTGAGGACACACCTTTCTGAAATCTCGTGATGATCATAAATAAGACAGCTATGAACAAATGAAGTATAAACTGGAACAGTGATGAAATCAAAGCACATATATCAACTCTTTGAGTTTTGAAAGCCAGTTTAAAAAATCACTGTGAATACAAGTAAAAAATTTTAAAACTCAGTATCTTCTAATTTATTGTTACTAAAATAAACTTTAGACTGTGATTTTTACAACAATCTTGAGACAAAAACAAACTGTTTTAAGCTGTGTATTCTAGGAATATATTTATATGCTAAGAATAAGATTCTCCATGATGGATAATAACAATAAAAAAGGAAAAAGTCATTTAGAAATGTGTACAGCCTTATAAATTATAATATACTTCCTCTATAGTTAAAAAGTACCAAAGCAAACAGCTTTACTTTCATAACAAAGGAAATTAATCAATGAATATAATTTTAGACTTTAGGAAAAAATACTGGAACTAAAGGAGATGCTAGGTTCACAATACCAAGATTTTTTTTTTTTTTTTTTTTTTTTGGCACTAGGGTTGAACCTAGGGGTGCTTTACCCCTGAGCTACATCCTGAGCCCTTTTTACTTTTTATTTTGAAACAAGGTTTCATTAAGTTGTTGAGGCTGGCCTTGAACTTGTGATTCTCCTGCCTTAGACTCTTAGTTGATGAAATTATAGGTGTAAGCCAACATGCCTGGCAACTAAGATTCCCTTCTAAAGAAAAAAAGACAAAGGAAACCCAGATATATTTTGGCTGATATTTAACAGTTTGCAAACACAGAGGACAATACAAATGACTAGAAAGTAACATATATCATCTCATTTTAAAATAAAACATAAGACCCAGGGAATAATAGACCATGTAGTTTAATCTCTGTGGCTAAAAAGTTACTAGAGCTACTTTTAACAGAAGCAGCCTAAATTTTCATGGAGACTTAGGGGTTTAATAAGATAGTTCAAACTTCAAAAGTATATGTAGTACTACAAATTTATCTGATGTTTCTGAGCTATGACAGCACACAATAAATAAAAAGGAACTGATGTTATCTAGATTTCCATGAGAAACATCAAGAAATGATACAGACATTCATTTAGCCTGTGGATTCAGGGAAAATGAACTAGGTAAAATGATTCATGAACTAAAAAAATAGACAGCTTGCTGTGAGAACTGAATTTCTACATTCAAGGTATAAAATGTCTGTCAAATGCCTACCATATCATCAGGCTAAGGCTACTAAAAAAAAAAAAATATTCAGGATCTCTAATGATACTATTTCATCCCTCAAAAGTATTTAAATTTACTTATTTTTCCATCAGTTACTGCATTTCTAAACTTTGGTATATAAAAATATATGTAATTCAGTTTTTCCACAAACTTACAAATTATACATTTTTGTTATAAAGTAACAGAAAAATGTCAATAATTTTCATTTTAAGAGGTTAATTTAAATGAATTAATTTTAGAATGTGATATAATTAAAAAATATGTTCTAAAATTTTAATTAAAATAACAAAATTGAACAGTGGGGGTGCTTGATAGTTTCATTCAACTTTGAAAACTGGTAATTGATTCACACTGTCAGGTTCCTATCAATTTTCAAAGCAAGAAAATTGATTCAAAGAATATTCTGATTCCTATAAACAAAAAAAAATTCTTATATATTTTACTTCATGAATACAGAATATGTAGGGAACAATAGCTACTCGCTGTTACTGAACTAAGAAATTCTAGTTGGTTGAAATTAATGATATAGTCCATCTGGTTTGAAACCCAAAGCAGCATTTCAAAACTATACTGTAAAGTTCTGTTAGGAAGAAATCTATCAATTTTCCAAGTACTTATATAATACTGCATAATAGTTGCAGATTTTATGACAATATTTTTTTGCAAAAACTTAAGAGTGTGACCATTATGTGAAGCTTTCTAAAAAAACTGTTCCGGTATTACTTTAAAATAATTTATTACTAAACTATCTTCAGTGCAAGATTAGGATGAATGGAATACTCAATAATATGTTCATGTGGTGGTGACAATTATGTGGTGAAATATGGTTAAGCATAAATTTTCCGGGATTCATGTATCTACATCAAATATAAAGATAATTATATTGCACAACACCCATATGAAAACATATGGATGAATATGTGAATAGTACTAGTGATTAGATATGATGCTACTTTTTAGTGATTACAGGTGATGGTAATTTATACAATCAATATGCACTGATCACACACAAATAGGTCTTATTAATACATGTAAAACATTTGTAAAATTTACATTGAGAGCACTTAGCAAATTTATTGTAGGAACACATAGTAGGAAAAATAAAGAGTGGGTCATTAATTCAGATATAATTACTTTAATGCTTTTTTCCTTGTTGTTACTGTTCAAACCCAGGGCCGCAAGCACTATACCACTGAGGTATATCCTTAGTTCTAATGCTTTTTATTTCTTTGCTAGAAATCCTTTCCTTCCTCTTTTCAATTAAATGATCTCAATGGAGTAATAGTAATATTGACAACAGTGCAAAATACTGAAAGCCACAATATGCAAAATATTACCCATCTTAGTTCCAGACTCATCCCTGGAAAAAGGCAGCATGACATAATCAACAAGTTATAATATACATAAGGTTCATGTAAATATTAAATTTTACCTTGAAAACATCAGCAGAGTAAGGAAGAAACCATTGCTATAAAGTATTTAAAAGTCTTTCCAATACTCACCAAGTAGTTTATTTTTTGAAACGACAGCAAAATTAAACTATTAAGATTAAATACATAGGAAAACAAAATATAAATTAGTAAGTTGTACATTTAATAAACTCAGAATAGAGGAAAATGATTGCTACATTTTGAAACAGAAGTTAGAAATCTGGACAATGTCAGTTTAAGTGAAACATTCTAGAAAGTAATCTAAGAGCTGCCCACTCTTTTTAAATGGAGATCATAAAAAAGACTAAGTAGGAAAAATTGAAGGTGAATTGCTGTTTGTTTTGTGTATATATATGTTACACCTGAAGTTATCAGCAGAAGACCAATTATGTTAAGAAATGCTTACAAACTTGGAAATGTGCAAGATTGGCAGACCAAAATCTGTATTTATGGCACTGGGAACAACAGTTTACTTTGGCTATCATCCTACCTGAGCTGTAGAAAAGGTCAGGTCTTTCCAGAATATCTCCATCATGAATGTATGGCTCAATTCTATCATCACCATATAAGTACTGCTCACTCTCGTCCATCTGGCGGCTCTCCACCATCTCCAGCCACTGAGAGTTATGCCAGCGAAACTTCTCACTCTGAATTTTCTTAGCCCATTCTTCATCATATTCCTATTGAAAGCAAATATTCAACTATTACTATATTAACTCAATCTCTTGGTATTCAATAGCAATACTTATATCTCACAAGTAAAGAACTTTTAGAACTGTTTATTTATTTATTACACTAGGGATTGAACCAGAGTTGCTTAACCACTGAGCCACATCCTCAGCCTTTTAAAATATTTATTTAGAGAGTAGGTCTCGCTGAGGTGTTTAAGGCCTCACTAAGTTGCTGAGGCTGGCTTTGAACTCAAATCCTTCTGCCTTAGTCTCCTGAGCCACTAGGATTACAGGCGCGAGTCTCTATGCCCAGCCAAGAATTTTTAGAACCTTCATTTGGGTCAGAAGGCACATTAAAAATACCTGTTCAGAATTATTTTATATAATAGCCAAAGTCTCTTTGGATTAACAATCACTAATGACAATGAGAAGCACTGAAAGAATTTAAAGTTCACAAATTCTTCTTTAAATATTATCTAAATATTGCCAAAATTTAAATAAACAACCAGAATTTTGCTTTCCATGGATTCTTGTGGCTATAATTATTTGTGGCACTAATGACAGGTGGCTAACATGACCTTTTTTGATATATTTTTTAGTCTAGATAATACTATAGGAAGAAAGCACTATTAAAGCACTGCTTCTAACTACTGAAAATAAATACTGCTGAAAATAATTACTACAGAAAATAAATAGCATTGCTGAATTTAATTTTGCTCAACCACAAAATAATGTTGTTTTACTTAAAATTATTTGTCAGGGTCACTGTAGAATGAATTCTACACTGGATAGAAGGTAATAAATGGCCTCCAATGTCAACTTTCAGCTCTAATATTCTGTGAATGGGTTAAATTGTTGAGTAAATAATGGTAGAAAGGGTATAATAAATGGATATTACGTTAAATAACCAAGTATGTTCTCAGTCATGTTTTCTCTGACTTGGCCATAATTGAAGTGTGTTAGGGAAAGAACGAAGTTGAAAAATAACATGCACGGAGATGTTGTTACAAGCAGTTTCACTGGCTATAGTTTTGGTAGTTCACCTTGTTTTTTCAAAATTTAATATTAAGTGATGCCTAATTACAGAAAACAGTTATTATGGCTGCTTCTAAGTAATTTAGCCTAAATGCAGACTATAGCTCTGAGCCTCTTTAAAATTTATATGACCCCAACAGTATACTTTTTGGTTTCATATGTGACTCTGTGTATGTGGTCAAGTAAAGTTAGCTACAAAAAAAAAAAAAAAAAAAGGATACTGTAATATTAGAAATAGCAAGATAATTTACAAGGGTATGATTGTACACACTTACAGTTAAAGCAAAGGATCAACTTATGAATTATACCCAGTGAGGTAAAACACTTAGCTCATAAACAGAGGGCAAAATGGTGTTTGGGAAAGAAACTGCCCATGTTAGTGGGTTTTTTTTCTAAAAGATAAGTTATAGGTCACCCAAACTCCAAGAATATGCCTTATTATAGTAAGTTCTATTAGATCCATATTAAACATTGGAACTAATTTGAGCTTGTTTCATTTGGTAAGAGGTAAAAAGCTAATTTTTCACCCTGGTAAAAAAATTTAAAATCTGACTAAATTATCTGAATAAAGAGGTATTCAAGGATAACAGAAAAACATAGGATCTGATTGTTTAATTATAATAGTTTCAAGCATATGAATTCCTAGTGAAAAAGGGGGAGTTGAATGAAATGTTTCAAACTATGCTGTCCAAGAAGGAATATACCACAATGAATTCCAAACACATATAATTACAGTGTACTAATTAAAATAATGATAGGGGGCTGGGGATGGGGCTCAGCAGTAGAGCGATTGCCTAGCCCGTGCGAGGCACTGGGTTCAATCCTCAGCACCACATTAAAATAAATAAATAAAATAAAGATATTGTTTCCAAATACAACTAAAAAATATTTAAAAAATAATGCTAGAAGAGAGATGGGTGTATCATGGGGAGGCAGGAAGGGAGGGAAAGGGAAGGTATTGGGGAATGACCAAATTATGTACATGCATGAATATGCATAATTAATCCCACTATTATGTATAATTATAATGTAAGTTAATGAAACATTAGGAGTTAAAATTCAGTCAAGTGCCCAAAGCATATAAAATGTGGAACTTGCTATTTCAGTGAGAGTAAAGCTTGCTTCCTAAGAATACCTGTGAAATAATCCTTAAATGACATATTCACAAACTGTAGTTAGCCTCGTAGGTAATGTTCTCTATGAAGAAAAAAAACTGCTGAGTTGTCATCTTATGCCCTTTTATGAGATTTTAGTAACCTAACTTAATGATAACAAAAATATAACAAATATAAATGTAGAAATAAGTAACAAAGATGTCTCTTCACACACGATTCCTTCAGCCTTATCATCCTATGAGCTCAGAGCAATACTTTTATTCGCGAACTTCCACACACAAGCTCAAGTTTTGTTTTCTCTTTTCTTTTTTTATATTATATACTTATTTTTATTTGTTCTTTTTAGTTATACATGAAAGTAGAATATATTTTGACATATTATACAGACATGGAGTATAACTTCCCATTCTTGTGGTGTACATGATGTAGAATTACACTGGTTGTATATTCATATATGAACATAGAGGGTTATGTCTGGTTACAATGTGTGTGTATGTATGTATGTGTATGTGGTGTGTGTGTGTGTATTTTTTTGTTTGTTTGTTTTTTTCTTTAAAGAGACTATTTGACAAAAATCCAAATGTACAAACCAAAAACATCCATGAGCATTCATGGCTAACTTTTGACACTCTCTTGGTAAAGCTGATTTTTTAAGGCAGTAAGTTCGCACAGAACCTAGCATCACATGTAACGAGACTACCCTTAGCACTCTTCTAAAGTCTTCATCTCTCTCTGTATCAGTTTGTGATAGAATTAGCCTACAGAACTAGTACCTTAGCATTATAAGGCTCAAAAAGCATAGTAGTAATGATGAAGATTGTACTGTTATTTTCTTCTTTAAAATAATTTATTCTGATTTTTAAGTATTTTTTACTATAAAACAATAGGTTTAATATCTGTGACTAACATAATGATTAACTTATGCATTACTACTTATAGTCTCACAATGAAAACACTATGGTTTTCTTGATTCTTTAAAAAAAAAAAAGCAAAACAAAGTTTTTCCTTAGGAAATATGAGATAGAATGTTATTATATACCAAACCATCATTATCCAGAATATTGAAAATTACATCTTACAAAAAGACCCAACAATATTTACGGAATCTACTACAATGACAAGCAGTGTTTTCATAAGAGGTGGCCTTGAGATTTTGTATGTATGTACTTTTTTTTGTTATAGATCATAGGTTGAAAATTGACCAAAAAAAAACAAACCCTTGAGCAGGTAGTGTCAAGGCCTTAAAAGTTCCCCTAATTTTTAAAGTCTTAAAGAATTAAAACATGATTTTTTGAAAATAATATTTGGATTTTCATAATTTCAAAGGGAATATTTTCATCATTGAAATTCGAAAATTACAAAAAATAGAGACTCATCACCATAAATAATGCTATATATCCTACCAGTTTATTTATTTTTGCAGGGGGACTCGGGGGCTGGCACTAGGGATTGAGCCCAGGGGCTTTATGAATGTGATACAGTCCCAACACTATTTTTTTTTTTTTTTTTTTGAGTTAGAGTCTCACTAAGTTTAGGGCCTCACAAGTCTCTGAGACAGGCCTTGAACTTGAGATCCTCTTGTTTATTTCTCCTAAATTGCCAGGATTACAGGTGAGTGCCATCACACTTGGCTTCCCACCAGTTTTTTTTTTTTCATTTGTTCTAATTAGTTCCACATGACAGTAGAATGCATTTTGACACATTATACATAAATGGAGCGTAACTTCTCATTCGTCTGATTGTACATGATGTAGAGCTACACAGGTCACGTAATCGTATGTGCACGTAGGGTAAAAATGTCCAATTCATTCTACAGTCATTCCTACCTCCACACCCCCTCCATCCCACCAGTTTTAATGGCATTTTAAATTCCAATATTAATGGCTACTTTTGAAAAATATTTTAAAATGTATATACTTTTAAATTTAGAGGCTTGGGGCTGGGGATGTGGCTCAAGCGGTAGCGCGCTCGCCTGGCATGCGTGCGGCCTGGGTTCGATCCTCAGCACCACATACAAACAAAGATGTTGTGTCCGCCGAAAACTAAAAAATAAATATTAAAAAATTCTCTCTCTCTCTCTTTTAAAAAAAAATTTAGAGGCTTGTAAGATATTGTACTTTGGCCATAAGTTTGTTTTAGTTTGTGATAATATAGCCTCAGGTTTCAAACGTTTACCAAATAAAGCATCTTAGAATAAAATATAGGCATTTAGTTAACAAGTATTCATTTAAGTAGTTACACTTTATTCCTTGGAGGTAAGTATTAGAATCAAATGAGACAGCAGTGTTTTGCTATATGAAGGTGATCACTCATCTATGTGTTTCTGAAAAGGTTTATCAGATTTTTTGAAAATCGAAGCTTTAGCTTATGACTACTGAGATCCTATTTAGCAATTGCAGTAAATTAATAGGCTAAGACAGTGGTCTTGATAGTTTAAATTTTAGGAAAAGTTCAAAAGCACATTTTAGGCACTGATATTAAGTCACCTGCCACCTACTATTATTGTTCTATTTTTTAAAAAGATAATTTTAAGACTAAAAATGTGAAAAAGAGAATCTTAAAATATATTTCCCAAGATAAAATGTGTCAACAACTTAATATTCCACCTCCCCCACCCCTCAAACAACTTTTTTCCTTTTTATTTCTTTCCTCTTCCATTTCAGTGAAAACCAAGTAAAAGCTTAGTCATACTCCAAAGGATCATATTCCAATGCCCTTATCCTATCTTCCACAGCACTCTGGAATTCCCAACAACACAGTTTGGTAGCCCTGGAAAAATCAGTTTCTTTGTATTTCAGAGTCTGGGCTTACAAGTATTAATAATATGGCAGGGCATAATATAAAGTGCACTAAATTAGGAATCAGGAGATCTGGTTTCCAGTGCTGGCTCTGATACCCACTGGAGTATGCACATTTCTCAAGGTATCTTAATCTCTGTTGGCCTGATTCTTCATTTGCACAATGAAACAAATCTAGGACTTACTCAAGCTCTAACATTTTAAGACTAAAAGCCTATACTTAATGTTATGACTTCATAAAGTCACTAAAATTATTATCTCAAATAATTGAAAAATACTGGTATAGTATAGGAGTTTCTTTTTAAAAGTTAAAAAGCTACTAAAAAATGAATATCCAGGGTTAAAATGTTCACTGAAGTAAACATAATTAACTAAAGTCAATTCTAGCCCTCCAGCCATGAACAGGTAAAGAAACATGATATATATACACAATGGAATATTACTCAGCCATAAAAAAGAATGACTATAACTTCTGCTGGTATATGGAGACTATCATGCTAAGTGAAATAATCCAATCCCCCAAAACCAAAGGCCAAATGTTTTCTCTGTTACACAAATGCTAACACACAATGATGGTGGAGGGGGCATATAGAAAAGTTTAGTGGATTAGACAAAGGGGAATGAAGGGAAGGGAGAGAGGAGGGAACAGGAAAGACAGTAGAATGAATCGGACATAACTTTCCTATTTTCATACATGAATATACCACCAGTGAAATTCCACATCATGTACAATCACAAAAATGGGATACTAATTAGAATGTTATACTTCATGTATATATAATATGTCAAAATACACTCTATTATCATGTACATCAAAAAAGAATAAAAAAAGATTTAAAAAAATCAATTGTAACACCTTCTCCCAATCTCTACTCTCCTGGTAATGCCCACTGCCCACCCTCTTTATCAGGCAGTGACTATGAGAACTCAGAGATAGCATTTCAGTCACCTCTAAGATGCCATCATCTTAGATCTAACAAGCTTTTGTGGCAATATTCTAGGGATATAGTTGGTTTTTGTTCACGTTGAAACACTTCTTTTTATGAGGATTATACTTTGTGTCCTGGCTTTGAGCCTTGACTTTATCCTGTATTTAAAAGACAAAATGTCTTGTATTCTCTTCTCAGCTTCTGACAGTATGATCTTAAGCACTCAGTTTCCAGAAATTCTAAAGTGTCACAAAAGACTTATGGTTTGATTTTACATGGAATGTGCCATCGTTTTTGAAGTCCTACATCATTTTGTTTACTACTTAACCAGTAAAACATTATGAAGCCTTAACCAGCCTATTATCAGAGTCTGTTCACTATCACGAAAACTCTTTTGTCACTGGCTTCCGTCACACCTTGTATCTGATTAACACACTATAGGATAACATAGGGCTACATAGATCTGCTTTGTGTTCTAACATAAATGATGGAAAACAGATTTTCCTTTCTCCTTTAATGTGGCAGCCCCTTAATTGAGACTGTAATATGGTTTATTTAATACAATTTTTCATACTAAATTAAAGCAGGTCTAGAGTAATTTAGCTATTCATTATAATTAAGGCAGCAGCTATTAAAAAGATGCTTTTATGTCTTAGAAAAACATTTCTCTGAATGATACACATATACACAAATTAAACACACACATAATAAAGTTATTGACTTTTATGCATATACTCTCTGAACTGTCCCAAGTGTCACCTCTGGACTTGGCCATGGCATTTTCTAATCAGATCTCTAAGTACAATTATATCCTAAAACAATCTCTGCTTAAAATACTGAGGAGGCTAACCTGTACAATATCATTTTAAATATGTCAAGTCAGGCCTAAAAGTAAAAGGCAGAACTAAATGAAATTTATTTAAGAAATCATGATTTTTCTCTTTCATACTATGCTCGGGTTCTTTTAAGTCCAACTGTTGTCAATTAAAGGAAAAAAATAAAGCAATATGCATAAGAAACAGGCAAGGAATACACACATTCATGTAAATATAAATTTTTGTGTATTTAAATTCCAACAAGCTGGAAAAATATCCTGAATTTCTGTCTTTTTGTTTATGCAATATAAAATAAACTATAAAACAGGGCTAACAAAACTTATTAAATCCAATTTGTATGAAATTAAAAAAATAAAAACATCAAACTCACACTGAAAAATTAAAATTTACTAAGCCTGAAAAATAAGCAAGAAGTGAACCAGGTGAACCAGGGTCTTGAACCTTATAGGAGCATACCAGCAGAAAGGCAAAGCATGTCATTATTTTGTCCATCTCTAACTATTTTTCTATAACTATATATTGCCCATCTATAACTGTTTCTTATAGTTATAACTGGACAGAATTCCTTTATTTTATTTATTTTTATGTGGTGCTAAGGGTCGAACCCAGTGCCTCACTCATGCAAGTTCTCTGCCACTGAGTTACTGCCCCAGCCCAGCAATGTTATTTTTGTTGGTTTTTCTGGAAGAATGTGGGATGTTTCCACGGCCTGGTGCCCTTCTATTAGCTCTACTGGACTTCACTTCTGAGAAAATGAACCATGAGTATGATTTAGTGCAGCAGCACACAGGCGTGCCACATTACATGAATCATCCACGTGTGATATCTTTAAACACTCTCAGTTTAATAAGTCCGGTTTTTCTATGTAAATGTTTCAGACTAAGGTTTTCCACAGTGTGAAATGATCTGTGATTATGTGGCAAGACATCAAATAGTTACTTTGTAAATCCAGTTTAGAGATTCATAGATTAAGTGAACTAAATCGTTTCAATATACTTGTTCCAATTTTTTTTTGTACTCACTCAAAAGTGATAAAACAGCATCTCAGAGAGCCATAATGCACATAGCTTGTGGTTATATCATGAAAATAATAAAACATAAACATAATTTTCTTTGTAACTTTAGATTTTAATGCTAAGATCTACAAGTTCCTTCAAGGAGGGTAGGGTCAGCAAAGTAAAATGAAGACTAAAAATGCTCATTGGATTTAGATAAATGAAGGTCAGGGTTACTTTGTTGAGTACCATTTTCATACAGCAGAGGAGACAGAAGAACTGAGCAGGCAGGTTGTGTGCAGCAATATATACTACAGATTAAAAAAAAAAACTTTTTAAAAATACATAGAATCTGGCACATCCCTGATATAAGGCCCAAGACCAGCAGAGGACTGTTGGAGCAGCATAATTTCTCAATAAGAGGCTGTAGGGTCAGCATGTTTCTACCCCAAGACTTAGATTATCCTCTGTTCATATCTCTCTAGTCATGTGTACTTTAAAAGTCTCCCAAGTTGCTGGGTGTGGTAGGAGCACTCCTTCAATCCCAGAAACTCGGGAGGCTGAGGCAGAGGATTGCAAGTTCAAAGCCAGCCTCAGAAACTCAGTGAGGCCCTAGGTAAGGGCTGGGGATGTGGCTCAGTGGTTAAGTGCCCCTGGGTTCAATCCCTGGAACCAAAAGTAAAAAAAAAGAAAAAGAAAAATCCAAAGTCATGAATAACATGAAGATTTTTTATATTTCCCATCATTCCAAAGCAATTGCAACTTACAAAGCAAGTGTATGCATATAATAAAAATTAGCTTATTTTTTAAAAAAGTTAGTCTGAACTGTTTAAAAACTTTAAGTTAAACTTAAATTTTTTTCAAACTGAAAAAAATAGTTAACACAAAATTTGATTTATTTAAGAGATTTAAAGGCAAGCTATAAAAATTATTAGTTTTAACAGAAGTTATTAAATTTCCTGATCTTAAAGAATAATTTCTCAAAAAAACAAAAACAAAAACAAAAAACCCTCAAAACTCAAGTGATTCCAAGATGACATGTAGATTAGGCTTAAACTCTGAACATGTATAAAGCCTCGTTAAGTAAGGAGACTATAATTAGAAGTTGAAGCCAACAGGCTTAATGTTTTAAAAGAAAATTTAGTATCAGAATTTTCTGAACCTTACCAAAATACAAAATTGTGTTAACATTGAATGCATAGTTCAAATTAGGTGTATAATGTCTTTTCCTGCCTAAAATGAAGACAAATGTACACGTGTAGAGAATAATTACTTACCGCTATAATGTCTAGTGTATTATCACAGACCTTTCGGATTTCATTATTTTTATCATGCATCAGGTCTATGAGATATGCTGGAGCCTCTGAATAAAAATGGTTAAAGATATAAACTGCATTTGAGATCATGACTCTTTAGTAATATTAGAAATCCCCCATTTCTTCTAAGTTTAAATGCTAAATTGAAATTTAACTTCAAATTTTAAAATCATTAGTTCACTTTAATATTTCATTTGTTAAGCGCTAGAGTTGTGTAGCTATAAATGCTTTCTTGATCTGAGTGATTTCACACAAAAATGAACGAGAGCCAAAATCATTCCCAAAAAAACCAGTGTATATTACGGTATTGCTAAAAAAAAAAAAAATGAACAAAAGAAAATAATTACAGTCAAATCCCGTCTATGGTTGTTATAAGAAGGGGAAAAGAAAGAGAAAACATGGTAAGGCATTTTCATGTAAGAGAAAGATAGAACCTGTCATTTTGAAAGAGATAAGAATTTAAGAAAATATTAAAATATATATGAACAAACAACATAAATCAGAACTACAAAACCCAGAGAAAAAACTTGGAAAGAAACAAAAATAAAAGTAAAAATAATTATAGATATAATAACTAAATTTAAATAACACAAGATACAACAGATAAAATCCTAAAAGAAATGAGGTAAAAAGGAAGTAAATTTATAAAATCAAAACATAAAGAAAAAAAAGATTGGAAAATCACAGATTTTAAAGATAGGCCACGAAGAGCCAATATAATAGAAATCTCAAGAAAACCAAGGCAATGGCAAAAAACTAATAACTAAAAATTACCATTCAAGAAAAATTTTATAAGGGGCTGGGGTTGTGGCTCAGTGGTAGAGCACTTGCCTAGCACTTGCCTAGGCCCTGGGTTCGATCCTCAGCACCACATAAAAATGAATAAATAAAATAAAAGTACTGTATCAACTACAACTAAACAAATACTTATTAAAAGCTTGGCTCAAGCGGTAGCGCGCTCGCTTGGCTTGCGTGCAGCCCGGGTTCGATCCTCAGCACCACATACAAACAAACAAAGATGTTGTGTCCGTCGAGAACTAAAAAATAAATATTAAAAAATTCTCTCTCTCAAAAAAAAAAAAAAGAAAAAGAAAAATTTTCTGAAAAAAAAAAACTTAAAACTACAAACAGGAAAAGTACATTTGTACACTTAGAAAAATCAATCAAGGATGATATTCAAATTCTAATAAAAACCAAAACAAAAAACAACAACAAAAAACTTGATGTTAAAGAAAATAAACATTCTTCTGGTCTTCTTAGGAAAAAAAAAAGAAACAAGTTATTTCTAAAGGGAAAGGAAATTAAATTACCAGCAGACTTTAGGGTAGATAATTATAATTAGACTGATTAGACTTCTCCTTGGTAGCAATGTAGGCCAGCAGACAGGTGGGAAAGTCCTTTAAGTTGTGCCTTAAGTTGTGAGGGAAATAACTGTCAACCTAGAGTTCCATATTCTGCTACATTATTATTTAAGAGGACAAATTAGTTATCTTATATAAAGTTAGATTTTATTATTTATAGGTAACATTCACCATTAAAATTCTTCATTTAAAAGGAATGAATTCTTTTTTTTTTTTTTTTTTAAGGAGAGAGAGGGAGGGAGGGGGGGGGGGGGGGAGGGTGGTTTTTGTAGATGGACACAACACAAAACATTAATTTTTATGTGGTGCTGAGAATCAAACCCGGATCCCGCCCGTGCTAAGGGAGCGCTCTACTGCTGAGCCACAATCCCAGTCCGTAATGAATTCTTTTTAACACATTCTTTTTTCAAAATGTTTAAATAAATTGGACCCACTGGGGCAATCACAATAAAAAGGATGATAAACACATTCAAATAAATATTTTGTTTAATGGTGAAATTAAATATTTTCATAATATTTAGTATGCAACAAGTTGCAACAAGATGTCACTGACATCAATAAAAAACTTGGTTTCTGAACACCAAAACATTTCTGAGTTCATTATTTTGATGGAAGCACTTCAGCAATACTTATTTAATCTTAAAACACGGATGAAAGCATCAGATTGAAGTAGTATTCCTTGAGCTTTTGTAAAAAAATTAATTCTGCCAGTCTTTAATTGCCAATTTACACTGTTTTCAACATTTTGTATTCTTTGGGATAACTATTTTAAAAGTACAGACCCCAAATATATTGGTATTAAATAAAAATTGAAGTTAGAATGAAGAACAGTCAAAAAGAAGTTCTCTTAATACTGTGAGTATGGCTACTAAGGTACTGAGTAGGTAGCAAAGGCTGAAACACTTACTGTATATATGAGGCACTTGGTAGGTATTTTAAATACTTCATTCTTTAAAAATCCTAAGAAATGAAGTGCAAACAGAACTGTCTTTCAAAGAAGTCACCTAGGAAAGCTATACTTTCATTTGACTGTTTTCTGTAGTGCCTTCTGTAGTTACATGTTTTAAATACCCTCTATTCATAAAATAGCCTTCTAGAGGCTCTAAACCTCTAGAAGGAGCACATACATACAGGTTCCGAAAAGACCCTATAGCAAGAAAGTCTGTTAAACTCTATTTTGCAAGCTTATTCAAAACCCTATTTTTCATTAAACAACTGTTAATACTTAAGGAATGTTTCACGGAATACAGCTAGGGAAAAGTTTATTACTTTCAATGATTTTAATATTATTCAAAAGTGTATTTTTTTAGTTGTCAGTGGATCTTTATTTTTTTTATTTATTTGCAGTGCTGATAATCAAACCCAGTGCCTCATGCATACTAGGCAAGCACTCTATTGCTGAGCCCGAGCCCGAGCCCGAGCCCCAGCCCCAGCCCCAGCCCTCTAATGTGGCTTTTAAGGCAAACCAGTATTTGTTTTTAGATAGCCCTCATCAAAATGAAGATTTCTTGGAAGGAGATCCTCATCGTTATACAAAATTACATATAAGAGGAAGTGAGGGGAAAGGAAAAAAAAAACAAGGGAGAGAAATGAATTACAGTAGATGGCATAGAGAGAGAAGAGGGGAGGGGAGGGGAGGGGAGGGGAGGGGGGATAGCAGAGGATAGGAAAGGCAGCAGAATACAACAGACACTAGTATGGCAGTATGTAAAAACGTGGATGTATAACCGATTTGATTCTGCAATCTGTATACGGGGTAAAAATGGGAGTTCATAACCTACTTGAATCAAATGTATGAAATATGATATGTCAAGAGCTTTGTAATGTTTTGAACAACTAATAATAAAAAAAAATAAAGAAAAAAAAAATGAAGATTTCTTCAGTTAGACTTTCCCCAGACTGAACTTCTGGAGCCTTTATATGCTTCCAAAAGTTAATTTTTTCCCTCAAAAGCAAGGTAATTTTCCTCTAAAGGTGATATCTAAAGTGTACATCATTAGATTTGAATGTAGCACAGAGGAGTTTCAAAATGCTTTGAGTAATGGTAGCATCATTTAAAACTAAAAAATCTCTTAAGGTATTACTTTAAAGGACATTAACCAGTTAGATACCAGTATTCATTGACCATACAAGTTTTTACCACATATCAAGTACTGTGTTAACTTTTGGGTATAGATAAAGATAAGATAAAGACAGTACTTGAGCTTGAGGACCTCAAAATCTTTTGGGAGAGATAAGCATATAAACAGATGATTGAAAGTACTTTTAAGAGGTTAAAAAAAATTTCTTTTTTCTTTTTTTTTTTTTTAACAATTCTTAATACATCTTTATACCACAATTTATCTTTTGTTATGTACATAATATGAATATACCATAGTGAATTTCACCCATATATGTATAAAACACCAATTTTATAAAACAATAAGACTAGTGAAGGAAAGGAAACAGGGGGAGGGAAGAGGAAGGGAAAAGTACTGGGGACTGAAGTAGAGTGAATTACATTCTACACATGTACAATTATGTCAAAATGGACACCACTATGATGTTTAACTATAATGCACTAATAAAAGCATGAAATTGCTAAAAGAGAAAAAAACCCAAAAAAATAAAAAATAAAAAAAAGAGGGAAAGAACGAACGAACGAACGAACGAACTACTGGGAATAAGAAAGGCATAGGATTTAGAAAGGCTTAATTAACTAAGAAGATGGTATATAAAACTTTGATGGGTAGGAGACATGGGTGGAAAAAAAAGGAGAGAATGCATTTGAAGTTGACAAATATACAAAAAAAAGCAGTAAATTATAAGGTAGGTCATATCTGATGATCAGAAATTTGATGTACTGAAAGAAAATCTCAGACTTAATTATATATACCCAGGTGTCTCATATACCCATGTCTTTATGACACTGAACATATTGGATTATTGTTTTATATTTACTTATCTATCTTTTCAACCAGGACTGATTTCATAAATCAGGATGTGTTTGATGGTCAATGCTTATGTAGAATATATGACTAATTATGTATAGTAACAGAGACAATAGAGAGTAACATTTCCAGCTTGACATGCTGTGTGGATGACACTGTTATTATTCACAATGAATACAGAAGGCAGGACTGTTTTTGCTCCTCATAGAAGGATGGTGACTGTATAGAGTACCCCTTGGTTGCAGTAATGATTAATTACCATTTACTGAGTACCTCTGGGTACTGGGAACTATAATAGGCACCTTAAATCCATTAATAGTTACAACAAACCCACAAAGTAGGAAGTCTTTTTATTTACTACCACAGTCATTTTCTTGATGTCAGAATGTATGCTAAGGAAGTCATCTGACTTTTTGAGGTCCCACAGTTAGTAAATGGCAAAAGATTATTAAAAATTAGGACTGCATGAGGGTGGAGGATGCAGCTCAGTGGTAAAGCACTGGCCTCACATGTGCAAGGCTCTGATCACCAGCACAGAAACATAATGAAAACATAGGCACACAATGCTCTTAGGATACACCATGCCAAGGCCCTTTTAGGTAAGGACATCCAGACAGCAGTTAGCAACAAATGTCTGATGCCCGAGACGTTTTGCAGATATTAAATACTTAACATACAGTTGGGTAGTTAACAATCCTGACAACAGACATGTTTTCCAATGTTCAGAAAATAAAGTTACTGGAAGGACAGTCCTTGGAACCTGTGATAATTAAGTGATATTAGTAGAGAAGGAAATTCTGACATGTTCAAGTTTCTTAGTAATCAAAACCTGACAAGTTAAATAAAATTGGTCTCATTATATTCTATTTATATAGAATATAATATAGAGGTAGAGAATTCTTCACCTGAAATGGTTAGAGTGTTTAAATTTACTTAGATTTTAGAATATTTGCTTATATGTAATAGGTTATCCTGGGAATTGGACATAAGTCTGAACAAGAAAACACATTTATGTGCCATACACACCCTATGTACATACCATGAAGGCTATTTAGTACATATATACAATATTTTAGTACACTTGTGCTTTGAATGAGAATGCTACATGACATGAAAATTTCTACTTGTGGTGTCATGCTCGCATTCAGAAAGCTTCTGATTCTGGAGCATTTCTATTTCAGATTAGTCATGTTCAACCTGTATTGATTTAGGGTAAAGAGTACCATGGAAAATAGTGTATCTTCTAAATTTACTGTAAAGCTTGGTGTTTTCTATAGCATTTTAATATTTACATAAAGTACAACAAGAAAGAAGCATGTTTTTGATGATGTGAGATACATCCTCTAACACTGAAAGGATACGTGTCTCCTTGATTATGACGTCTCTTGTGGCTTGGTGGAAAACCATCTGGTAGAAGACATAGATTATCTGACACACAAACTCATCATCTTCCTGTTGAGCTAGAAGGAAACAAAATTTCATAAAAAAATAATGTTTACATACCAAACTGAGAATTACTGGGAATAACAGAGAGATAAACTCACTGTTTATGGCAAGTATGTAAGTAAAGGATAACAGTTTAAAATACTTATAATACATAGGTGACACATATCATCTATGTCTCTGGTGTTTCTCCTATGATACTATGATCAGTGGAGAAATTTTATGACAGTATATTTATAGTAGCTTTAAGAAATTTGGTTATAATTAAATTAAGTAGGTTAATTATTTTTAAAATACAAAGAAAAATACGAAGATTTTGAAAAACAGAAGTTACATCAATTCGGAGGTTCAATCAGACGACTGGAGATAGTTCATCTGAAAAGATCAGGTAGTACTAAATAGGAACTGAGGGACAAGACTGATGGAAAAGAATAGAAACAGTGCTTCCCTGTCATCTTCACTGTATTTTGCCAATATACATGACAAAAACCAGACTAAATTAACTTCTGTGCTCCTAACGTGAAATGGCAACACTTACCACCACTTGCTTTGTTTCTTTCTATTCTTCACAAGAATTCTTCAAACAATTTAATTTGTGAAATAAGCCCATTTGCATTTTGCCTTTATAATATTGACTTCACATGAGAAAAACAATTTATTAAAAAAAACCCCTACATCTTCTGAATTCTAAGTTTTGGGCGGGGTAGAAACTGGACTATTATAAAAAGATACTTCCTTTTGTTGAATAATGTTCACAAAATTAAACTTTACACATTGGCATGAAATGAGTACTTTAGTTTCAATCTCATTATAATCATATAAAAGTTATATAATAATAAAAGCTAATTAACAAATGTTTAAAAACATTTGACAGAATAGCTGATGTTCATTGATGTTTAAAAATAAAATCTAATTTTAACTACTAGTTATTAAATTTGATTTACTAATACTGTAGTTTGCCATAAACCTTGCCAATAGTTCAATGATATGCTAGAAAGAGATTTCTTGGTTAACATAGTATCTAATTAGTTGTGTGGAGTAAACTGTGGGCCCCTTAAAGTCCAGTCTGCCCCAAATGACCTCCATCACAAACTTCCTAAAACAAAATGAGTTGAAATTCTCACTGTTAATTACTCCCCTTCATCTACAACATCCATTCACTGAACATCAAAGGTTTTTTTTTTTTAAATTGGGAAAATCCATATATTTATTTAAAAAGAATATTATATAGCCCCTACCTGTGATAATCTTACAGTGGATAAACCAAATCATGAATGCTTAGCTCACTCTCACATACCTCAGCTCTCTCAATTAAATCACTGTGGGACCAGCAATTCTAGGACACTGGTCATTTTGCTTCAACTTTCTCCAGCTCTCCACAAAATCTTCATTCTCCTTTTATCAGCTATATTTTTTTCACTTTTGCCTCCCAACTACCTAGTCTCTCCTTTAATTATTTCTAATACTATACTATTTCTAATACTATATTATCTATAGCAACGAAAATGAACAAACTTCTGTGTAAAACATAAAGGAATCTCACAAATAAAATGAGGGACAAAATAAACCAGATTCCCCATATAAAGTTCAAACTCAGGCAAAACCTATCAGTGATAAAAAAGATAGAAGCTACTCTGACGAAGATGGTAATGACTGGGAGAAGGGGAGAGGTATTTCTAGGATTCTGGTAATGTTTTATTTCTCTACGTGGGTAAGGCAACAATGTTGGGTATGCTCACTTTGAAAATTCATTGATTGCTGGTGGGACTGCAAATTGGTACAGCTAATCTGGAAAGCAGTATGGAGATTCCTTGGAAAACTTGGAATGGAACCATCATTTGACCCAGCTATCACAATACTTATACCCAAAGGACTTAAAAACAGCATATTATAGGGACACAGCCTTATCAATGTTTATAGCAGCACAATTCACAATAGCTAAATTGTGGAACCAACCCAGATGTCCTTCAGTAGATGAATGCAGAGGGAAACTTTGGTATATATACATAATGGAATATTACTCAGCATCCAAAGAGAATAAAATCATGGCATTTGCAGGTAAATGGATGGAGTTGGAGAATATGATGCTAAGCGAAGTTAGCCAATCCCCCCAAACCAAAGACAGAATGTTTTCTTTGATGAGGATGCTGACTCATAATGGGGATGTGGGGGGAGCCTGGAAGGAATGGAGGAACTATAGATAGGGCAAAGGGAAGGGAGGGGCAGGGAGGATGCAAGGGGGTAGGAATGATGGTAGAATGAGTTAGACATCATTACCCTAAGTACATGTATGAAGACACGAATGGTGTGAAAATACTTTGTGTATAATCAGTGACTTGAAAAATTGTGCTCTATGTATGCATTCTGTGTATAACAAATTAGAATAATTTTAAAAACTGTTATTTTGAAAATAAGTAACATTTTAATCACTCAAATATCAAAATTATATAAGAGTTCATAACTTAAAATTTCATCCCTGTCCCAGTTCATCTGCTCCCCTCTATACAGACCCAGTTTTATTAGAGTTTTGTGTTTATTTAGGCCAGTGACAGATTATTAAATAAATATTATTATGATCCTTATTTATATCACAAAATTTATCATCCAATGTCCTATGCTCCATTAGTGTAATCTAACACTATGATATGGATAATTTTCAATAATATGAACATAGGTAAACATATAACTTTTAAATTCAGTCTTTTAAAAGCTATGTTTATTTAGCTGTGTATATGAACCATAATTTAAGGAGTTTTAAAATTGGTAGTCACTATAATTTTTTTCCAAAATGTTACCATTGCAAATATGCTATAATGAAAAATCATTTTTATAAATTATTTTACATGTTTGCAGACTTATTTGCAGGGTAAATTCCTAAAAGTATAAATGCTGGAAAAAAGAGAAATACATTTATAAATGTGATGGGTTTTGCCAAATGAATCCCCATAATGTCACATTATTTTTGAACATCAATGAAAAATGTTTGAGAAGGCCTATTTCTCAACTTCACCAACAGGGAGTTATCAGTCTCTATGCATTTTGTCAACCAGGTAAAAATGTTCCAGTGAATTTTAAATTTTCATTGTTCTTATTAAAGCAGAGTCAAGTATCTTCTCCAAAGCTTAGGTGATTCTTTCTGTTTCAGCTAGACTTTGGGCTGTGCCCTCTCAAGTTGGTTTTGCAACTTGGTCCAAGGATATAAATTTAAGAATTAAAGCAATATTTCTATTTTCTTTTTAAAAAAAGTCCTTAGAATTATCAAAATGATAAATATTATTGCTTCAAATAATTTTTTATCTATTATATATCTTAAGAACATTTGTAGGATTTTAAGAGTTGTAAGTACTTATAAATCTGTTTTTAAAAAATTATATAAAGAATGAAAACTGGAAAAAAGAAAATTCATTGAAGTCTATACCTATAATTTATACATTTCTCTTTATGTATGTTACATTTCAAAAAAGTTTACTAAAATTAATACAAAATAAACATACATTATAGCTGCTGTAGGAAGGACTGAGAATTTAGTCATCTCATATTAGCCTTTTAAATTTTTATAGTATTAGCTACTTTTAATGTGAAAGACACTAGAGAACTTGGTCCTAATAAGATAATATTAGATTCAGATAAATTTTCTATGCAATATAGATTAACAATGTGTCCTGGCCACTTAAGAGCAATACAAATATAAGGAGACAATCAAGGCCTACATTGTTCAAAACTTCATATGCTACCATAGCTAATAAAATTAAAAATTCAGGTTCTCATTCCTGACAGCCACATTTAAGTGTTCAATAGTGACATATGTCGGCTAGCACAGATATAGATGGGAACACTTTCATTATCACAGGAAGCTCATAAGACAATGCCCATGGATCCACAGAAAATATGATGTTTAGAATCAGCTCCCAAATGTACTTTTCTACTTAGAAATCAAGATACAAAAAGCAAGTTTTGAATAAAAGAACAGATCCAACTAAAACTAACAAAAAGTTAGACAAAAAGAAGAAATGATAGAATATTAATGAGGGGAGAGAAAGTGAGGGAAGGGCAGTATCTGTAAAATTGGACCCAAAAAGCTTTATAGAAAGTTTCAACTTTATAGTCTAAAGGTCTTTAACATTATTCTATCCAATCCTAGTTAGCAGTATTTTGTTCATTTTTTTAAACTACTTAAGTTTCTTCTGATTAATGTAATAAGGTAAATACTATTTCATGTTGCAGACTCCACATAAAAATTTAAACTAATAAATTGCTTAGTCATTAGTATGAAAATAAATTAAGATAATTACCATTTAGCAGTTCAATGAGTGCAGGGATTATCCCAGATTTTGCTAACAGTGCAGCACAAGAGTCATCCATAGATACAGTTCCAATCATTATAACCACTTCTAAAACAAGGTCATCTTCTGCAGCACCTAGAAAAGTCAAACCAGAGAAAATTTTCATTGAAATGTCTTGATTCAGGGCTGGGGTTGTGGCTCAGTGGTAGAGTGCTTGCCTAGCACGCCTGAGGCACTGGGTTCAATCCCCAGCACCACATAAGAAAACTAAATAAACAAAGTAAAGGCATTATGTCCATCTACAAATAAAAATATTAAAAAAAAAGAAATGTCCTGATTCAAATCCAATTATATCATCAAATTTCAATTCACAGAAAAGATAGGTAAAGCTGTTAAATTAGTGCCCATAAATCTTTTACATACTTAGACAAAAAAAAAAAAAGGCTTATTTGAATGCTTAAAAGGACTTTGTGTGTGTATGTGTGTATGTAGGTATGTATAGGGGTGGTATTTGGTAATTAAAAAGAGACAGGATTAAAAAACCTACAAAATGGGTTCAGGATTGTAGCTCAGTGGTAGAACACTTGCTTAGTATGTGTGAGGCCCTGGGTTAGATCCCCAGCACCACATAAAATAAATAAACAAAATAAAGCATTGTGTCCATCTACAACTAAAAAAATATTTAAAAAAAAAACTACAAAACAACAAGAAAGGTAGGATAAAGAAGGAAGAACTAATATTAAGAAAATATATTGTCAGGAGAGAGAAAAGAGAATATTTATCTAAGAGGAGACCAATGACCACCCTTCTCGGGGGACAGAACTGTGGTAAGAATATGTTTTGCCTAGTATAATAATAGTTGAAAATGTTGCTCTAGCAGCCTTGTTCACAACAGAATGACCTTAATGATAATGCAAAAGTGAAATACCTAGAACAGACCTGGCTTTAGTTTATCCTTGAGGTACGGAACCAACTTGTACTCCTTAAGAACCAATTCCCAGTCTAAGTCTGGAATGGTCAAATTTGCAAGAGTTCCCAAACATTCAATCACAAACTCTTCCTCTTCATCATTAGAGATCTGGGCTGCAAGGTCCCCAACATAATCCTGAATAAAACAGAATTTTAATTCAAATTTAAATTACAAGAAGAACCAATCTAATAATGTAACCCATAGGAAGAAAAAGTAAACATCAAATGCTATTCTCCTGTTTTAATAATATTGAGCTAACTTGCAAAGGGAGCCTGTGGTGAGTTAGTCTGATGCAAGAAGACTGCAATAGGGGTGGAGGAATTAGTAGTAGAGATCACAAAACAAAAACAACATTAAAAGGTAGACTTGGATTTCTTTTTGTTTTTCTTTTTTTGAAAAAAGAAACCAGAGGCACTTTACCACTCAACTATGTCCCCGTCCCTACCCCCCCTTTTGGAGACAGTCTTGCTAAGTTGCTTAGGGACTTACTAAGTAAGTTAGGGACTTACTTAATTGTAAGTTGCTGAGGCTGGCCTCAAACTTACAATCCTTCTGCCTCGGTCTCCCAAACTGCTGGGATTACTAGTGTGCACCACCATGCCAGCCGAGATTAGGATTTCTAAGAGCTAAACCTAACAAGTTTATGGTAGAACAGCCAATGGGATTGTGAATAAATATCTGATGAGAGCTCAGTAAGAGTTATCTTTTCAAATATAGCTATTTAAAACTACAACTCAGTTTATTTTAATAGACAGAAAGCTAAAAACTATACTTACAATAAACAAATTTTTAGTTGGCCCATCATGCTGGGAAATGTTTCTAATCATTTTCATTAGCAATGGATCCTTGAACTTCAGAGCTCTTTTCATGAGCATCTTCAACCCATTTCCTGAAATAGAAAATTTTCCCATTAAAATTAAAGTTAATTTAAATTTAAAGATTTTTTTTTGTTATAAAAATTTACATCCAGTAAAATGCACAAGCCCTAAGTGTAGAACTGACAGACAAAGGTTCATGCTCGTTCAACCCATACTACATATCAACATATAGAGTGTCTCAATTCATTCCAGGAAGTTCTCCTTGTGTCCCTTCCCAGTCAAATACTCCTCCTCAGACACACTTTTCAGTTTTTCCCTTCCTCTTCTCCTTCTTGGGTTTCTTCTTTAAAAATACAGATTAGTTTTGCCTGATCTAGAACTTCATATAAATAGATTCATATAGCATTTGCTCTTTTGTGTCTGGAATTTGCACAGTAAAATTTTTAAAAAAACATAAATTCTTTTGAACCAGAAAAACATCGTACTTCAGTAATTTAGCCTAAGAATATAAAACTGAAATGCATAAAGATATAGAGAAAGGATATTTGCTACAGCACTGTTTGTAACAAAAGAAGTGGCAACAAACCAAACATCTGAACTAGAATAAACCCTGGCAAAATCCTCTAATGAACTATTTTGCATCTACTAACAATTATGTTTTATAAAAATTTTAACCATATTAAATGATATTCAAGATATTCATTTAAAAATAATATTTAGAGAATCACATTTTTATTTGAAAATACACATTAGTATTTTACTAAAATCTAACATTTATCTTTGAATGGTAAGAGTAAAGATTAAATTTTTCCTATTTGCTCACTTGTACATTTTTATAACGAGCACCTACAACTTTTCAAATAAGAAAAACTATTGAGTATTCTCTAAAACATTATAATGTATGACAAGACACTTTACCAAGACACTGTAGAAATATAACCTAATACAAATGTATTTTATCCCCTTTTGTTGTAATTGAATATTTTGCAAATAAAAAGTTTCATTTCACCTAAAAATGTTTAAAAAAAATCAAATTTCAATCAGTGCTGACCTTAATTTAGAAAATGTTACTGATGGGTGTTTCTGCTCATGACAGAATATTCTATTTGATGCTTAAGAACTAGAGCTATAAGGAAAAACCTTACTGAAAAATAGGATTTACATATCTATTATAATTCTTAGTTCCTTTTATCCTATTTCCCATAATATGCCAATTAGCAGATGTTACAGAAGTTACCTATGAAGCTCAAAGTCACTAACCTTCACAGATAAGCTGTACATTCCTCTTGTTAGCAGCAAGATTAATGCAAAAAGAAATGAGTTCCAAGTCAATTCGTTCATCTGAACATTCAAAGAGCATCTTCATTAACTAGCAAAAAGCAGAGGGAACACTTTATTCAAATAAAGTCCAAACTCAGAAGCAATATCTTACGTTGTGTTATCTTAGATTGTACTTTGAAAGTAATATAATCTATGTTAAAACACAAAACTGGCAAGCTTTTACTCTTCAATACTGAATAAGTAATCAACTACCAGATACTTAACATTAAATATAAACTTCCAGGCGAATATAAAATAAATATTAGATAAAAATCTCTGCATGTAAGGAATTAAATATTATTGGGAAATTGAGCATACCAAATAAAGAAAATAGTTTATGTAAATGTCACAATGAAAGAAAGCACAATTCTTTCTTTTTTCTTTCCACACTTTTTCATTGGGGCATTATGTTATATATAATGATGAAATTTGCTGCTACATATTCATACATGCACACAATACAATAATATAATTTGGCCAATATCATTCCCCAACAATTCCCCCTCCCTTCCTCCCTCTCCCTGATTCCTTTCCTCTACTGACTTTTGATTTTCCTGCCTCCCACCACCTACAAAAGAACACAATTCTTCTGAAGGACCAAAAGAAAGTGAGCAAGATTGGAGAAAGAGAAACAGCTGAGAAATAGGAAGGTAAAAGCCAGATCATGTAAGGTCTTGAAGTACTTGTTAAGGATTTGGGAATTCGTCCTAAGGTTAATTGGAACCTATTAAAGGCTTCTAAATAGGAAGGTGTCAGGTTAAGACTTGTGTTGGAAGAAAATCTGACTAGTGTCAAAAATAAGACTGATCAGGGCAAGAAAATGTGGGAAATTACCTAGAAATCTAGAGGAAAAATCCAGGTGAAATGGTGGCTGCCTGGACAAGGTAGGGCCATGGGTACAGAGTTATGAGGATTGATTAGAGATCTATATGGCAGACAGAATAAAAATGGGATTTACTAACTGAGAAGATGTTGGGTTAAAGGGAGAAGAGGAGTCAGGATGACTCCCAGGATTCTAACCTGAAAAATAACATGAATGGCGGTGCTAACATCTACCAAAAAAAGGGAAACTAAGGTAGGGAAAACCTTAAAGGGAAGATAATACTTTTGGCTTTAGATATGTGGAGTCTAAGCTGCTTGTTAACAGTCTAGGGCAGAATATTCAGTAGGAAATTATAAATACAGGCCTAAATTTGGAAGAAATGTCTGGACTGGAGATATAATGTTAGAAACTGTTAGATATGATTGATAACTGAAGCTGCAAGCTAGATTGAATAGCATGGATGTGATATAAAATGAGAACATAACTATATTTAATGGTAAGAGAGGAATGTGTGAGAAGCAACAGTGAAATAAATTAAGAAGGAATAGGTGGGCAACCTATGCCAGCTGGCTATAGTTTAAATTTGTCAAGATTAGTGACAGCTGCTATAATAAGGAAACATGAACAATATCATTCTGTGTTTTGGAGAAGCTAGTCATCTGTGATTGGAAAACAATCAATTAACAGTGCATATTATGTGAAGATATTTTGTCTAATTCCAAATTGCTAACAACATATGGAAGTTATTTTTAAGATTTGTACTCTAAAAATACTCATGTTTATCTCAAGGAAATACCTTTTTAGAACAATATGCCTTTATCAATCCTACATAGTGCCTTATATGTAGTAAGTGAATAACAAATAATTTATTTTAGATCACATTCTATTAAATTTTGTTTTGATTGCTGTCTTTGTTAGTTTCATATAAACTCTTAAGTTTCAAAAAGAATACAAGGTCAACATACAAAATCAACCATATTTCTATGTGCTGGCAATGAACAATTGGAAACCAAAATTAGAAACACAACACCATTCCAATTTCTAAATATAAATCTACTAAAATATTTACTAATCTGTATGCTCAAAACTATGAAACAGTACAGAGCTGAATGCTTGGTATGTGTCATGCCCTCTCCCGAAAGATAGTTCTTTAGTTACAAATGTTGCCACTAATGGAACCTCTGAGCAAGGAACCATTACCACTTCACAAAACCATAGAGTAAAAAGATTCTATGGCAAAAACAAAATAATCATAATTTACTAGATATATATGTAATGAATTTTGCTACCTATCAGCTAATAAAAGTTAAAATACAAATGAAATTGCCAATAAAAATTAAATTACAAATTAGTAAAAATGTGTGCTACTCCTCTAATACAATTAGTATGTTTTCCAAACTGTTTTTCAAGACTTACGATTTCTTCCAAACTTTTACTAATACTGAAAAACTTTTTATAATGAAAACATGTTATGCCAAAGCAGTTTTAAGAAGGCAAAGTATTTATTACTTACAAAATTTATTTCCTTTTGCAGTATGACAATTGCCCTTGAAAATGAAGGTATAGGTGATTTATTTAGAAGGCAAGATTTTTTTTAAAGTAATTTCCATGTTATATCTCTTGTAGAAATAGATTTAAAAAATAATGCATGGTTTAAAATCTTACCCAATGCCTAGCCTCAAAATTGAGAGTTAGAATTAAATATGAATGAAGTGTGTGTCACAGTATAGAATTAGTTTCTCATAATAAGAGAAACACTTCACTTATAATTAAAGCATTCAAATTTAAAAACAGTTTAGTTCAAATTCCAAGGGCATCAAGTGTATCATTGTCTTTAATATGACTGCTATCCCTGGTACTTCAAAAGTAAGTGTAATTGCTGACAACTAGGAAATATTAAAACTAGATTTGTTCTATTTTAACTATGTACGTCGTCATCTTTTACTAATTTAACAGGAAAGCACTAAAAGGGCTTCAGCCTTTGCAAGGAGGAGGCAATGGTGTTCAATCAGACAAGTCCCATATTGAGTATCAGATACCAAAGACCCACTACTGAAATCACCGTGTCTAGACTCTCTGGCACCTGACTTCACTTATTTACCAGTGACCAGAGGCCAACCCCCACAGCTCTCTGCATTCACATACACCTCCTACCACCCCCACTCGCCTACCCAAACATCTTTGAATGATTATGCCAGAACTTTGCATGCCTCAGGAATCTCTTCTGACTGGCTACTCCCTAACTCTCCTGTTTGAAGTGATGCTCTGGTTTCTGAACTTCAGCAGATAATGGCAGGCAAGAGCAAAGGGGGCTGTCAGAAAGGACGTTTACCAGCATTCAGCTAAAAAGAAGCATGTAGATCAAAGAGGGGCCGGATAGGACAACGGTGGTGGAAAACATGTGGATAACCATGAAGACTCTTGCACACTGTTCTGGGATAACATATTAAATAACACCATGACATCACTACCTAACCATGTACTTTGATTGGCCATTGTATTACCAATAAATACTTTTATAAACATCTGGATGGCATTTGCACCTATTTAAACAAAACATACATCTCAGAGGTCTAAATAACAATGAACTGTTAATGTGCACTTTTAACTATTATTAGAATACAACCATTAACTCCTGGTTATCCCAAGTATGCTTACCTGAAACAATCTACCCACTGAGACTATTAAGATCATGTATTTGACCTAGGCCCAAATATTGCAAAACAGTAACAAATACTGTAAGAAAATTAGAATCCATGGTATAATTAAAAGCAATAAAGTACAAAGAAAACAAAGCAATATAATATTGGAAGAGATTATGAGTCATGTTGTATGTATAATCACCTACTCTGGATGTTAAAATTATTTCCTAAAAGTGAATTCTAATCTAATTATAGGTTTATCCAATAAAACACACATAAGAAAGGTAGTATTTAAATTGGACTGTGAATGAGTTGAAAATGATGAGAAAGACTTGACATTTTACTGTAAATATCTACTTTTGTACAGTGATTTACAGTTTATAAACCCCTTTACATGTATAGATAAATAAATCTAGGGATTTTATAAACTCTATGTATGTACATATATACACACTCACATACATCACATACATATGCCTACATAATATGATGTAATTAAAGAATACATACTTCACATTCTCCTTTGTTATTTAAATGAATATGACCACTACCAAGCCATTGCTTCTCTACTTGCAAAGTTATTTTAGGGTTCTCTTTGAAAAATTCATGTGCAACAATTGAAGACCTCTACTAAACAAAAATTAATGTGCATAATTCAAAGAGAATAAAATACTACATTAATTCTCAGACATTACAACCTTGATATGACTTTGTTTAATAAACAGGTTAATTAGTTGCTGTTACAAGTAAGTTTGCCTTATAAGTATTATAAACATTACCTCTGAAAAATTTTTTTTAATTCCTGAAGGAAACTTGAAAATTTAATTTAAATTCTGATATGTTTTATATTATTCTTTGAACTTGGCACTGGGTAGCAACATACATGTCAACCTTTCCCTAAATAGGTCAAAATTGGGCACCGTGAAGAACAGTTTATTGGTTGGATGACACTTTAGGAACAAATATATCCTAGAATATCATTTGGCTTTCTCAAAATACTGCCTTATATTTAAAAGCTTCAGGATGTTTACAATGTAATTTGGTACACATAAACTCATGATTCCTGTAAGAGTTGAAGTTAAGAAACAAAACAAAAACAAGGGAAAAAAAACAACTAAAGTTTTTGAACTCAGAATAAATTTTGGAAAATTTTATTCATGAAATGTAGATCACAAATGTTCTGAAAACTCCATGGTTGAATTGTTTGTTGTTAGAAAACTGGCACGAAAACACACAGGAATATTGTTCTTGAAAAATCATGGGAGAACTTTGTATATACAAAGTTTTAAACTGCAGTCAGAACAAGATAATCCAAACAGGCTCTTATTTTTGATTCATTCATTTAAAATAAAATTTTATAGCTTATATTGAGATTATACATTCTAGAACAGTAGGATAACTCTAAACTCAAAATTCAATGTCATAAGTTTTCTATTCCTTCCTGGGTTTCACTTATTTGTATTTTATTTAATATTCTCTTTAAAATCTAAATCTGTTTAAAATGGTCAATCTCTGCAAGAATATTACTCTTTTTTGGCTGCTTTCCAATTCATATCCTGTAGTCAATGAAGTTCTGACACTAAATGAGATGGAAAAAGGAACACCCTTTGAACCTTTACAACACATGGAGTGAGACCATAGTAAATCACCTGTAATCTCCCTTTGACATGGCTACTCTTTTATTGAAAAGTTGTTTGACAAAGAGTGTGATTATACTTTGCATTGGCTATAGTCTGGCACACGTTATCTCTACAAGAAGTCCTGCCTTGTTAGATAAGATAATGCTGTATATCTTTGAAGGATGTCTATTTCCTGTAAATAGTCGGAATTAGTTTATCCCCCAATATGAAAGGCTAAGAAGTTATCTTTGAAAGTTCAACAGTTTTTTAACCACATGTAATAGCAAATTCAATTTTAATACTACTTCTTTAATTTGGAATAAAGAATGGTCACTTAGAATAAATGAAAGGAGAGCGCAACATACATTTAATAATTCATATTAGGATGACAAAGAATTATTTGGTAGGAGTATTAAGAGGAATTACTTCAGTAAGGCTGACTTAATCATTCTTTTTTTAAGAGTGTGTTATTTTTATCATACACATATCTTGCAATTTTGGCTTTTTTATTTTAGAAAACTATTTTTTTTAAAATTATAATATTAAAAAGCAGCCCAACCAGTATTCCAATCATTAGATATTCAAAGTAGTAGAGCTTGGTTTACTAATGATTAATTGCACTATAGTGACTCCGTGATAAATTCCCTAAGAGTATAATCACACATATAAACAAAATCTCTAACCTTACAACATAGTCTGTGTTAAAAAAAATCACTGAACTCCTTCATGTCAAATAGACCTAACATATGAAATATATTAAGCAACTGAGTTACTGGAAAGAACTTTTTTTTTTTTTTAATTGTTTTGTAGTTGTAGATGGACAGCACATTTTGTTTATTTTTTGAAGTGGTGCTAAGGATTGAATCTAGTGCCTGACACATGCTAGGCAAGCGCTCTGCCACTGAGCTAGTCCTCAACCCTGGAAAGATCTTTTTTGAGAACACTGCTCTAAAATAAAAGAGTTCTGATAAAATATTTTTCTATTAGAGAATGCAAAGTATTTAAAACTATCAACTATAAACAAAGTTAAAAAGCAAGTGGCAAACTTGGGAAATATTTATAACATGGCAGTTAAAATAGTTATATACATATTGATCTTATTTATCAATTATAAAATATTAACATGCCAGTGGAAAATTGAATTATTTATAAATGAATATGGGATAATAAACAAATGAAAATGTTCAACTTCCCCGATATTCATGGAAATGCAAGTAAATGGAAATGCAAGTAAATAGAAATATTAAACACCATACAGAAATAATAATAACCATTGTTGTTAAAAGTGAAATGCTTTGGAAACATATATTTATGCCTTCTTAGAAAGTAATTTGGTCAAAATGTATCAAGGACACAAGTGTTTTTTTCTTGAACACAGTTGTTATACTTTTGGGAACTTTAAAGAAAAATTCAGAGATGTAGATAAACTATGACTATGATATTTTTTCCCTATTATTTTCATTTGCTTATTTATGTTTTGTGACAAATCTGAAAAAAATCTAAACATAATTTAGCAATATTTAAATTACAGTCATTAAGCAGAATATTATACAACTATCAGAAATAATTTTTTGAAGGTTGTTCAATGTCGTGAGAGTCTACTTATTAAGTAAATAAAGCAATACATGAAAATTATATATACTATATATAATCCTTCAATATTATTATTTTTAAGTATGTAGAAAACAATGTAGCAAAATGTTAAATAGCTATCTCTGGGATTTGAAAAAACAAAAAGTTATTTTCATTTTTATATAGTTCTGTACTTTTTTTGGCAACAATAGGAATTGAACCCAGAGCTTTGTGCATGCTAGGAAAGAGCTCTACTGCAGAGCTACATTTTTAGCCCCAGTTCTGTACTTTTTAAGTATTCTATAACATGTAATTTATTAATAACAATAATTATAATTTTTTAGGTAAAAGGAAATCTAACAAATCAAGAGAAGAAAGTAAAAAAAATATATTTCTTCAATGTTTTTCTTAAAATGTTAAGCTACTTACCTGTGGTATACAGTCAGTGTATGCAAACATTGACTTAAAGCGGTCATCCATGCTTATGTGATAAAGCACACACATTGCTATTTGTTTGTAGTTTTCATTGCCTAGAATTAAAAACAATCATAGAACAGTAAGATATATATGTATATACACACATTCTATGCATACTCAGTGTATAAAAACAATTAAACTACTGAATAAAATCCTTAATCTTTTTTTAATTTTTAGTTTTAGATGGACACAATACCTTTATTTTATTTATTTATTTTTATGTGGTGCTGAGGATCAAACCCAGTGCCTCACACGTTTTAGGTGAGTGCTTTACCACTGAGCCACAAACTCAGCCCCTTATATAATCTTAATCTTAAAAATATTTTGAACTTCCTATTTTAAATCTAAAGTTTGAAGCACTCATTTATCTGTGAGATGTCACTAAGTTTCAAGACAGAATTTCTATTTTACAAGGTATGTTTTTAGAAAAAACACTAACCACAACCCGAAAAATTTCTTTTTTAGTAGCCCAGTATAAAGCAGAATGGGTTATTGGCCTCCCCACCTTTACTGCCTTATCACAATATGGGATACATACAATTCCTTGACAGTGATGACATGTGAGAAACAGTAAACAAAAACATGCATATAATTACTATGAATCAGAAATTAGAAAAATTATCCAAATGAAGAAAGAAGTAGAATAGTATTTGTAATAATGAAAAATTAAATGTAGGACTATAAAATGCTAAAAATTTAATCTAAGTAGAATCTAAGGAATGTCTCAGGACTTCTAAGGGAAGACCGCTCTGTGTTGGGGATATAGCTCAGTAGTAGAGAACTTGCACAGATGTAAAGTTAAAATCTAACAATATGAGAGGAGAAAGTAATATTTAAAATTTTAAGGTGAAGACAAGGAAGTCAATGGCTATAGAAAATGTAGTATATTTACTATTTAGGGGGTGAGAATTTTATTTGAAAGGGATTATAACATAAAAAGTGTAAAATTCCTCCAAATTATATAAAAGCAGAGACAAAGTTGGTGTTACTGACCCTAATGTTTTATTCTTTAGAGCCTAGCTAAATAAAAGATTCATAGATTCTAATGTTAGGGTTTTTTGTTTTTTGTTTTTTTTTTTTGTACTGAGATTGAACCCAGCAGTGTTTTACCACTGAGCTATATCCCTATCTCATTTTATTTTATTTTTTCAGACAGGATCTCACCAAGTTACTGATGCTAGCTTGAATTTGGAATTCTCTTGCTTTAGTTGTCAGGTCACCAGGATTACAGGGGTGCACCACTGTGTCCCGCAATGTTAGATTTTAATAAATTACATTTTTAGGGGCTGGGTTGTGGCTCAGCGGTAGAGCGCTTGCCTCACATTTGCAAGGCCCTGGGGTCGATCCTCAGCACCACATAAAAATAAATAAAATAGTTATTGTGTCCAACTACAACTAAAAACAATAAATATATATTTTTTAAAATTACATTTTTACACTTTTGAAGGCCTTCGTTTACAATTATTTTAGACCTATAAAGTACGCTTACCAGAGGAAAATATATTTACACAGATTTTCATGAATATGCAGATAAATAATGAAAATGGTCCAACTTTGCTCCTAAGGAGGCAGACATCCCTTGGGTTCTGGTTTGCATTTCACAAAATTTAGCCTCTTCCAGATTAAGGTATGATAAAGTATTTTTAAATGGGGTCTTCAAGCAGACTTATATTCTGAAGGTCAGTCTCTCTTCCTGACATTTCAATGATTTTCTATCTTTTATTCATCTGTAAGTTCTAGTCCTACTTAATTTTTTACAAAATATTTTCTGAAGATATTTTATGTAATGGGTTCATTGAAAAGTAGGATTCCAAGTAATGAAACGGTAAAGGAAACAAAGAGAAATCAATAACCAATAATAAAGATTCTTTGAGGGGCTGAGCTATAATAGCTCAGTGGTGGAGTGCTGACCTTGCACTCACGTGGCACTGGGTTCAATCCTCAGCACCACATAATAAATAAAGATATTGTATCCATCTACAGCTAAATATATATTTATATTTATACACACACACACATATATATATTTTAAGATTCTTTAACATCCAACCAAACCATCAAACTTTAAAATTCCCTGTGGAACTATTTAAGAAATAAGAAGTAACTATGCTCCAGGAGGCTATGTCTGTTGCTGGTGCCAATAAAAAATTTTAAAAAAGCAATGTCCTTCATGTAAGGCAAGAGAAAATGAAGACTCTCTTTTAAGAGACATGTGTCAAGTTGATAAATAACGTGTAAGAAACAGTTCTTGGACATAACAACAATTTATATTACTTTTACACAGTAAATCTAAATGTCTACTTGCAAAAAATAGTATAATTCATTCTATAGCCAGTCCTAATTCTGTGCTTATTGTGTGCTTTCTCTTTCTCCTTTTCCTTTCACACTCACAGTCAAAGGTTAAACCTCCTAGCAAGTTCTCCCTTACTTTCCTAATTCTTCACCATCTATGATCCTCTATTAAACAACAACTGCAACAATAATAACTCTGAACATGTACCCAGTTGATTATAATCTTCTCCTAAAAAGAAAGTTTGCTGAAAACTAAAGAAATGAAGGCAACAGGAGGTTAAGGACACAAGGTATGGATAATACTTGTAACATCAAAATTTTTTTGAGAGATAGGGGAAGAGAAAGGATTAAACAAACAATGGCATTATTGCTGTTGCATGCTCAGCATACAATGGAAGAGGTAGGTATTCTCTGATTTAGAGATAAGGCAATGACATTCATTCAAGTTATGACTCTTTCAAAAGAAAACAAGCTGTGAACCTGGGATTCAGACAGAGGTCTGACTAAAGCTCATGTAGTATGTACTTTCCAATAAGGCTTCCAGGAGATAGCAGAAAGAGTGAAATCAATAATGCCAAATAAATGTTATCATCATCATTCCTAAGGATACAGTACAGGAAATAGATACCCCTAGAAGACACTGTAGGACCCAATGGATCTGGAATTCTGTGGAAGAGAGTGAGAAGACTGGTAGTCGAGGAAAAGAGAGGAAATGAAATGCAGACATGAAATCAGATATTTCTCAGGGAACCTGTGTCTAGATACAGAAGGTTTGAAAGGATGAAGGAAGTTCCTGACAGGGACAAATTGCTCTAGAGGTGGACTATTTGGGTTAAATTTGTGGCTCTGTCCCTCAACAGCTATCTGTCATTGTCAACATTATTTAAATTCTGTGCTTTAGTTTCTTCATCTGTAAAAATTGAATAACAGGGCTGGTGTTGTGGCTCAGTGGTAGAACGCTTGCCTAGCACACCTGAGGCACTGGGTTCGATCCCTAGCACCACATAAGAAAACTAAATAAACAAAATACAGGTATGTGTCCATCTACAAATAAAAATATTTTTTAAAAATGGGACAACAATTTATCTAACTCGAAAGGTTGTTATGCAAGGATTGCTAATTGGTAAGGCAATTAGCAAAAAGTCTGACACATACTAACCAATTCAATAAACATGCTTTCTTATTATCATTATGTCAACAATAACATTTTTATGTTTCACCTAGGGAGCAGTACTATCATTGTTCCTAATATGTATGCTGCTTTGTTTTTCTATACTAAAATTATAGGTAGAAGTAAAGTAGGTTGAGAGGAAACTAAAGTTTCTGAGATGAGCTAGACAGAATTCTAAGGTACACTCCAAGCCTATGACTGACCATTTTTCTACCTAGTTATTTTCCTACAAAACTCTGCAATTTCTTTTTAAAATATTTTTCTTTTATTAGTGCATTATAGTTATACATAGTAGTTGGGTTCATTATGACAAAATCATACATGCATGGAAATTCATTTACTTCATTTCAGTCCCTAGTGGCCAGCACCCACTTGTCCTCTCTTCTTCCCTCCCCCTATTCTCCTTCCTCTACACTACTGGTTTTCCTTTAATTTGTTTATTTATTTTTTTATTCTTGATTGGTTAAAGCTCTGCTATTTCTAAAGTAAGTCCTTGGAGAATCATTTTACACTTGAGGCTCCACTCAGTGACTTATAACTAGTAAGGAATCATTGTCTTTTTCTCATTCTCATAAATTTCTTAATGAACAAAAAAATTGAGAAAAGAAATAAGCTCCCTTGTTGCCCTCCACATAACATTATGAATCTCTCCTTCTCTTTTCAATCTTCTTTATCTGTACTGGAACTTAATTTCACTCCTAGAGTGGACAATGGTCATGGTAGTAATGGGTAGTAATGTCCAAGTAGATGAAAGGACACAGAAGTCTAAGAACACTGAAGACAGAACTCACAACTACCTACCCTGTTTCATTTACCTTTAAACAGCATATCCCAAGCAAATAAAAATCTTGATGAACAGAGGTATTTTTTCTCAATTTTGGGCTAAGCACAACTGAATGAAAGAAACTGAAATACAACTAGTGCTGCACCAAAAAAGGTTTTTTTCTTGAGGAAAGTATAGAGAAGGAGGTGATGATAGATCTAAGGGACTATGATATTGTAGTATTCAGAGGTTTATCTAACCCAAGTTGCTAATGCATCTTCTACAGTTTACTGATTAACAAATACCTACAAAATTAATTTTCCCCTTTTTGTATTTACTTAGTGAATGAAAAAAAAAAAAAGATACAAACTGGCATCTGCCTTTTCATTCCAAAAAAATATGTATATAGGGCTAGGGTTGCAGCTCAGTGGTAGAACGCTTCCCTAGCATGTGTGAGACACTGGGTTCAATTCTCAGCACCACATATAAATAAATATATAAAAGGTCCATCGGCAACTAAAAATATATATTAAAAATATGTAAATATTTCACAATTGTTTCTGTTACCTATATTAACTTGCTGTTTCTATTTCATAACCCACTGTTATAGATTACACATTTCTTTTCTCCACTAAGGAACTGCAATATATGAGTGAAGACAGTAGTTTATAAACCACAGGTTTCTTATTCATTATGCCATAAATTATTATATAAATGATAATTCCTTGAAAAAAATGCAGCCTTTTAACTATATAGCATGTAATAGATAGCTGACAGCTATAAGAACAAAGCAATTTAGGACAAAAATGAGTATGTGGAGTGGGAAG